ATAAACTCGTGAAAAGAGGAATTCCTCGCAGGAGGAGATGAACTTAATATAGTGACATTATTTAGCGTAACTCGGGTAGGGAAGTACCCAACATTTGTTAATTATCCGAATATTACTTTTCATAAATAGGCACACTCACCCCAATAGAGTAGCGCCTGTGGAAAAACTAACGTCAATTAGCATCAACATCACGCAACAAATAAACGGCTGAAAGCAGCCAGATTACATACTATGGCTGTATGGTATGCATGATATTATTTAGCGAATACCAGCTGCGATCGGTATTTTCCACGTTTTTTTACAGAAAAAGATGTGAACCGCGGTTTGCGTACGTGAATTCACAAATTATTACCATGATGAGATCGGCAAACCGTGATCATGCATGAACTTGACCACAGTGTGAATTACCCTCAATAGTCAATACATACCTCCTAGTATTTATCTATCCCTCTATCTTCCCTTAATATCTTCTAGATAGTAGGTTTGTTCCGTAAACCATCTTTCGGCACGTAAAAATTTTGGAAAAATGCGAACCCCAAGAAGAGTAAGCAAAGAAAAAAATGGACTAATCATTGCATCTTCTATAGGCACATGAAAATAAATCGTAATTAAAACCGTGCTTAAGGGTTGGGCTTGGCCATAAAACTTCGAGGAACTTATTAGAGAGAGCCTGGCGTCAATACTGCTCAATATAGTGCACTATAGAAATTTATTTTTTAATCGAATCATAAATCTAAATTGGATTACTGAAGAATTCTTTTGAAAATCCCATCTAAATCCACTCCAAATAGACGGAATTTGAAATATTATTTCTATGTCGTTGAAAATATTATTTCTATGTCGGTAGATTAACTATATCTAGCTATATGAAGGCTGTGTGAAGAATCGTATAGTCACTCAGCGGTCAGCGTAGTGAACAGCACCAAATAATGAATTCTCAATCTGAATTCCGTACACATTGAACAATTATAGAACGAACACGCGGGACAAAAACGCTCAAGAATTTTATCCAGGCGATTACATTCTGTAGGCGTGACGTCTATCGTATAATTCAGTTTCAAAAACGTAATGACACAAAAAAATGCGTCGTTCGCCCAATTATTAACTTATCTGAAGGTTGCACGAGAATGAAGTGAAATGAAAATTACGTAATTAATTTCTTGAACGATCGATAAGGTTAACAGTACCACATGAGAGACGAGGGAGCGAACAAGGTTAGAACTCGCATGTTATACATATATAGAAATTAGGCTCGCGCATTAAACGAGATGGCACGCCTCGGAAAACAGGCGCCATGAGATCCTCAGTGCACATATTAAACATTGGACAAGGCCAAAGCTGTGGATTAGAAAAGGGCAAAAAAAAAACACAATTTAAACTCATCCTGTGAAACACCAGAGTCATCACATGAGATTCGTGAGAGGAAAATATAAAACTCAAAAAGAAAAATGTAAGAAAAGACTAAACTATGCGATGATGGAAAGATATCAGTCGCTGGCATCCAAGAAGAAACAAGTGAATAGAAGTACTAACCAATTCGAACAAAATGTTATTTTACCGCAGCATTTGATGCATTCATCCATGACCGCAATGAATAACACATATGTTCAAAATTGCACAAAAATCGGAGTGGTTAGCGTCAGCACCCAGCGAACGCGAGATAACGCACACGAATGGCTCCATGTACAATCATAATAATGATAAGTCATCCCATGGACACGGAACATGGCGTGCACGATTATGATTCTGGTAATAACACGTTTGACACTCATCGTATGAAGTAATTATCAGTTACACTGCATTGCACTCGCACGCACACTTAATAGCGATCTACCTGCAACACGCACTGTCGTGCACGGAGTATATATGATTGTGTGACATGTATAAATTAGTTATCACGCTTGTCTGACATGGCTTAAGTTCTAGGTTATTTTCATTAATTCGGTCACAAACGAAATAATATTAAATAAGTTTCAGAGATAATTTCAATGTCTGGAACATCGCAGCAGTAATGCTAGTCGTGATACAAAAAGAGAAGTGCTCGTCTCAAGTTTAATTTCTCAATTATTTGGTTATTCTATTATAGGCACGGTAGCATTCAGAACCATCATGTGCGAGGGTAACAACTAAGCACCAATGTATAGAACAAAATAGTAACCGGCCTGCGATTTATCCGAGCTGAATTATATCTGTAAAAAATATAACTCAGTACTCACTGCAGTGAGTGACAGAGAGCGCATTTTCTCGTCGACGAAAACTTGAGGTCACGGACAGACAGACAGACGGACATGGCGAGCATAATAGTGCATTTTTTCCATAAATGAGAAAATGCGCTAAAAAGAACATCTCTTCACTAAGTTTCTTAACATTGGTAAAATACGTTTCAGAAGCGCAGAGTTATTTTTTTTATAATAAAAAAGTAGGAGGCAAGCCTTTTTGTACATAAAGGAAGCAATATAATAACTATACAACAGATACGATTAAAGTCGGGTATACAGGTAATAAAAAAAATTGCTACACAGAAAATACAGAGAACAGGATACATGACGGTGGATGTATAATGTATAAACATACTGCCCCAAGGGATTCAAGTCTTTTTGTACAAGACAAACCAGGGCAGAACCACGGATAAGCAGAAAAAAAGGGAAATCGTTCCGCTTAAAGGAGCTTAGATTGAAACGTAATTTTGACAAGACTTTATGCAGCGGCTAATTGTTAAACTCGAATTACATGCGAATTCAACAAAACTACATAGACATAATATCTTGAATAATAGCGAGGGGTGAATACTCGTACTGTGATAAACACGATAATTCCTGACTTTAATTTATTGACACTTTTACTTGAGTTCCTGCTATTCAATGATGTTTGAAACATGCGTATTTAACTTAGTGGTTCTTTCATGCTCAGTATGTGTGAATGCAGTCACAGGAAGGAAGCTTCAAATTTAAGCCAAAGGTTAAGAATACAATTGAATTGTACATATCAGAATACGGCTTTTAATGATGTCTATCAAGCGGCGCAAAACCAATTTGACACTTTTCGAGTAACAGTTAATTGATTAAAAAGCGTAATAATCGAATATAAATTTGTGAATTAAACTTTGGCAAGATCACGTTCAGTGAGCTTAGTTTATTGAGTGCCGGCGCACTTTCTCCAGAACAAAGAATCGTAATCTCCGCTCGTAATCGTAATTTCTATATACATCGACATAATCAATCTCTCAAACATATACAATATTATTACGCGAAACATATATAAGCAGGCATAATGACCGTAGAAAGTAGCTATCGAAGCCAGCTTAGAGTAGACCAGAACTTGAAAATACGCAGGCGGGTATGATAGGAAAAAATATCAGCATCGGAGTGAATGTGACCTGCCAAGTGGATTGTTTAGCGAATTTCTTTGAATCGCTTGAATGCTTTGTTTCGAAAAACCAATTTTGCAAAAATCATCATTGCATTTTAATTTATATGTATTTCAATAGCACCGAGTAGCCGACAGTAGGGACACCACGTGCAGGAGTTGCAGTCGCAATATTATAAAATTATAATAGAACAATTTTGCGAAGTAGAGGAATTGAAGGGATAGTTCGAACAGCCAATTAAAGAATGTTTTTCGCTCATGGTTCGACCTTTCAACTACCGGTATTCAAAGAAGCCACATGCTTATGAATTTTCATAACACTAAATTAGCACTGATGTGTAAGTCAATAAAAAAATTGCGTGACAGGCTACTACACAACAAAATGTTCTAAATTTAGGTGTTTCGACATTACTTATGTCAATTCTAGGCTGTAATCGGAATAGAAGTTTATCCTCGAGAGTCGAGAATATGATGTTAGAGTACCGTAGTAGGTATGTTTGATCGGGAATTCGAGACTCAATACCGTACTGCAACGTACAAATTTTGCACGGAAAGATTTTATCCGATTAAATTATTGATTACGTGTGTAAACAACTATATCGCAAAAATAACGGTATAGAATTCAATCAAACAAAGAATAGTTGGTCTTATTGAATAATATTCTGCGTTGAAGTAGTGTGAGACTAAGAACATGTCATTACAGCGCAACGAAACCCCCTAATCCTGCTCTGATAGTGCCTGATATTCCTCTTCGAATTTCTAAAATGAATCGGACAATAAAGTTAAGAGTTTGAAGCGCACATGCCGGCTTCGGTAGCATGGATACAATTTGGCTCGCATGGTAACTACATTACCAACTTGGGCCACACGTCTGGCGAGCTACAACGACACGCCCTGTAGCTGCAGCGATGCCGTTTGAAGATAAGGACACAAGTCAGTAAGGATGAGTTGGGACACTTACGTGTGATCGACTTCTAGTATTTGCAACAACTGACAGCCGATCAATACGTCGTTAAAAATACCAATCTTAATTTACAAGATTCAAATTTAGTTAATACATTTACAGGCAATACCATTCAGGTTAAATGTGTGAAATCAAAGCAAAGCGAGAGCGTCCTATATATAAGTCGTTTGATTAATTGCAAGTTGCATGACAGCAATGTTCCTGCTATTTATTTACAACTGCGCTGAGGAATATTAAAAGAGCCGGGTTTACAGCCCTAATACAGCAAAAGTAAAATAAACAGTTAATTACACAAACGAAATGAAGCTCCAAAGATGCTCGATTTGCTAAATAAAAATACATCAGAGTTTATTTTATAGCAAACGCCAAGCAGCAGCAAGTGACCACTGAGCAAAGCCAAAGGAAGAGAACGAACGACTTGGCACTTGCTCTTTCATTGGATTGGCAATTGCTCTCCAGATCCACATTGGTTTCGCGATTTGTTAATTCCGAATTGAATATCTTTACACAAGTACCACACATTGATTTCAATGTTTATTTTCCCGCCAACGAAATCTATTGACGTGTCTAGCGCACACTGAGATCATCAGATTGCGTTCCTAGGCGCAGCGGTAATGCGGTATACTTTTTAACAAGGGCATCTCTGTCTCGTCTACCCTACGAAACTGACCTGCGAGAAGGCAGGACAATCACAATGTAATTTCTTTATTCAAGTCCAGTCAGGGGTTCCCAAACTTGTCTTCAGTAATGAAGCGGATGAGATTGCAAATAGCAACCAGCCCGAGTGACTCAATTCGGTAAACAACGGATACAACAGTAGACTCTACAGCAGTGCTGCCCCGCCAGACAAATAACGCGCACATCCAATACCTTCAACAGCTCGAGGTATACTGATGCAAACTTGCTTGAGCTTGAGTTGCTTCTTGCTAGTCTGCTTCTGCTAGGCTGCTAGCAGCCTAGCGCTGGCTGGCTCCTACAGCAAAGCCCGTTTCCTCAAGTGATATTCTTCTCAGAGTATCTTTCATTCGTCGGTTATGGTTCTTGTAATACTAGCATTTCTTGGGTCTATTACATAAATTTATTCTAAATATAACGCCATATCACCTTCAGATAAATTGGAAAAGAAACGCAACGGCGGGCGAACAACGCCGGCACATTTTGACGGAATTAGAATATTTCTGATTCCATACTTTAATTAAGTCGACGAGGAAGCTACAGTAAATAAATCTGTGTAAGATTGCGATAACTACTGGCTAGCACGTCTCCATATTTCATTTAAATTAAAATCTCTTCTAACACATCATTATTTCAAGTATTGAAATGCAAATAAAAGCATCTATTAGATTGTTAGAAGATGCGCAGGCTTGGTGATAGATTTTGATTAGTAGAACCATATATACCTTTGCATATTATGAAATGTACACAAACATGCTTCTGAAATAAGACATGTATTTGACGAAAAACACCAGGAATGAATTGAGACTTAAAATATCTGAAAATTATGCTAATGGAAAACCCTAAAGTCGGAAAAAAGTAAAAACAGAGATTCAAAAGCCGGTTTAATTTCACAGATTGATTTCCAAAATTTCAAGTATTATTTGAAATAACATGAGAACCAATATCCTGTAGCAATTACCGTGTGCACTTCATTTCAGCCTTCATCTATATATATAAGTACTTATATTGGATACAACAGTAGACTCTACAGCAGTGCTGCCCCGCCAGACAAATAACGCGCACATCCAATACCTTCAACAGCTCGAGGTATACTGATGCAAACTTGCTTGAGCTTGAGTTGCTTCTTGCTAGTCTGCTTCTGCTAGGCTGCTAGCAGCCTAGCGCTGGCTGGCTCCTACAGCAAAGCCCGTTTCCTCAAGTGATATTCTTCTCAGAGTATCTTTCATTCGTCGGTTATGGTTCTTGTAATACTAGCATTTCTTGGGTCTATTACATAAATTTATTCTAAATATAACGCCATATCACCTTCAGATAAATTGGAAAAGAAACGCAACGGCGGGCGAACAACGCCGGCACATTTTGACGGAATTAGAATATTTCTGATTCCATACTTTAAGTCGACGAGGAAGCTACAGTAAATAAATCTGTGTAAGATTGCGATAACTACTGGCTAGCACGTCTCCATATTTCATTTAAATTAAAATCTCTTCTAACACATCATTATTTCAAGTATTGAAATGCAAATAAAAGCATCTATTAGATTGTTAGAAGATGCGCAGGCTTGGTGATAGATTTTGATTAGTAGAACCATATATACCTTTGCATATTATGAAATGTACACAAACATGCTTCTGAAATAAGACATGTATTTGACGAAAAACACCAGGAATGAATTGAGACTTAAAATATCTGAAAATTATGCTAATGGAAAACCCTAAAGTCGGAAAAAAGTAAAAACAGAGATTCAAAAGCCGGTTTAATTTCACAGATTGATTTCCAAAATTTCAAGTATTATTTGAAATAACATGAGAACCAATATCCTGTAGCAATTACCGTGTGCACTTCATTTCAGCCTTCATCTATATATATAAGTACTTATATAATCAGTCTGCTTGAGCCTTGAATCGCAAGTTAACAAGGAACGTAAAAGCAAAGAAAACGCCAAGTAAATTCACCATATCGATATTGAAAACGTTTCGGAGTCCAACACTATTCTCAGTTCAACAATCTAGAAAATGAAAACAATTATAATAATTCAAAATACAAGGTCAGACATTAAAACATAATATTGACGAATAAAAGACGAATCAATCTTCAATTGAAAACAAGCACTCGCGGAACACAGTCATAAGCCCCAGGGTTGCCAGATGGTGCCGAGTGAAAAAGGCCAATTTAACTCACAGAAAAGGTCACAAAAGGCCCAATTTGAAATTAATAAGAAATTCTTAAATTTAAGGGAGTTCTAACCATTTGCAGTGCCTGCATTTACTCTCAAGGCTTTCAGACAGCAAAAAATACGCCAATTTCACCAAGTGTACGAGGCGAATTACCGCCAATGCTACATAAGCCGCCAGGTTTCAGCCTGCAACGAATTGCAGGTCACTCGCTGACCGTATATAAAACCGTATAATACAGGTCCAGAACTATGATATTTAGGATTCGATTGCCACCTTACATCTATAAAGCTTTTCAATCGCGTTAGAAAGTTATGGCTCGGTTTGCTAACAAAATAGTGCAGTGGCCGGCGGCATTAGTGATGTGGCGAAGTTTCGGCACGTTTCGTCATATAACTCACGAATGAAGGCGAAATTCAAAAAATTGTCACGAGCTTGACATCACCGTCAGGCTATAATGAATACGTGTACCAAGTTTCATCGAGCTACGTTCATTACGTTGAGAAGTATTTGATGTACACTGAATCTGGAGCGCGGCCGCGAGACCGGCCGTGAGACAGGCCGCGTTTTTGTCCGAGAGGTGCGAAGTTTTTTGGTATTGATGGTAGAATATTTATACGCGGAAATGAAAATAAATGTATACTCATATCTGCGGTATAAAGATGATGTGGTCCTTGCAAGACTATGGTATATATTATTAGTCAATCTTATAAATTTATCACAACTTTTGAATGCGTAGAAAAAATATTGCCTATCATAATTCGTAGAAGAGTAATTATATTTATTCAAAGTGAAATTTGGTAGTGACTCACACCAGAAGTCTGAATGTATGGAGAAACAGTGTTGTAACCTCAAAAATTAATGCTGAACTTACTACTCTTTAGCAGTGAAAACTATACTCGATTATCCGCGCTCTCAATTCTGCCATCCATGGTTATTAATACGAGTCGGCAACTGGATATAGTCCCATGGTTCAACCAAAGTGTTGCCCGGATTAGGCGGCACTCGCCAGTGTTGCCACTCGCCTAAACCGAAGGCGGCACTTGTCTAAACCGAGTAGTTGACACAGTTACGTGTCAAAATTTGAGTGTACTCGTCTTGGGCAAAGCTAAATTTGGATGTACTCGTCTTGGATAAAATTAAAGGACGAGATTATCACCAAAAAAGCCGAGAATTACATTTTCCATAAAAAAGGCCCAAAACGGACAAAAAGGCCAAATGAATTTTTGTCAGGCCAATGCATTAAAAAAAGCCCACATTTGCGAAATTTGGCCTGAAAAAGCAACACTGATAAGCCCTACCGGCCGCAGCCCTAGATAAGTAGACAAGGACTTTGAGAGATTGAAAAAGACCGCGAAGTGGGGAGAGAAAGAGGAGTGTCGACACAGATATGGTTTGGAGGCAAGATGAAAGGACGGTTTTATTTTTGCAGTTATTACTTGCAGTCTTTGGTGATAATGGTGGCGTAAGCTGGAAATAAAATTTAGTATTAGTTAATAGGTCGAGAAAGACATAAATGAAACTTACACTAATTAGGGGCTGGACTCCCATTGTTTAGGCTTAATAACGTTGTAGCTGAGCGTTGTTAATTGACTACTCGATGACAAGATTACAACTGGCATGACAAGAATGGTTTGTGAGTCATTAGTTACTTACACAAGGTGGTTTGGCAGGCAAGGAGAGACGCAACTTTGATTAATTAGAAATTTCAGTTTCAAGGAGAGTTGAGCTAGATATTATTGACATTTCCATGCTTATGCTTGCATTTTCCAACTTGGGCTTTGATTACGATTATAGTGCCAACGGATGCGGTTGGGCTTGAAAAACGACTACGATACCCGAAATAAGGTTAGAGATTACGTTTAGAGGACAATATCTTAAAATTACCCATTTTGTTTCAAGTCAAATGAGACGCATTGAAACGAAAGTCGGCAGTAGGGCCGTGTAGATGAGGCGGTAGGCGGAGAAAGAACAAAGTTGTCTTCCTCAAAACTTTTCTCTACGACAGGGTCGAAAAAAAAGGGACGGCATTTTAGCTATGTCGCTTTATCGTGTACAAATATGGAATAACCGCGAAAGTGAGTTTCTTGGATAAGCAGTTGGAACATAGTTGTATAGTGACTCGATCATAACTCGCACTATCATTTCTTGTAAATGTCGTAATTATTTTTTTATTAACTCTTCTAACTCGTTAATCACCAATTTCTATAGCTATTCGCAACTTAATTACCTAGAAACTTGCCAATTACTTCCTATGTCGTCAATTTAACTTTTCAATAATCATGCAAACATTTTGTCAAGAGATATTCTCAATTTTCTAGCACTAATAATATTCGTATGATTTTCGAGTTACAATATAGCTCGATATACGACAAAAATACTTTTTATATTTAATGCGATCACTCGAAAGTTGTGATTTTCGCTTAGAACGTGCTAGCGGACAGAGCTAGAACCACACGGTAGAATCACTTTGCTTTTTCACGTCGACGTGTTTACATCTCCGGGGTAAGCTGCTCAGTCGATCGTTTAATTTAAATTCAGCTATTTGTCAATAAATATTCCAAAGTGTAACCGTCAGAACTATATCATGGCTTGCTCTCAAAATTTTTTAAATATTGTTTTCTGCTATTTTATGTCAGTGTTATGCTTAGTCAAGTATAAGTCAACCTTCTGAATCAAAGTCAGATAGCTATTCAACCTCATAATATCTGAATAACCATTTGTATTCATTATTTCTTTAAACATTAATATTCAATTTTTGTTCATGTCATGCTTGTATTCTAATGACCAACCGCCCGCAGGTGTTGGTCGTGCCGTCATTCTTCATCCCATCAATAAACATACTAAACACCAGATTCTTTACTCCATCCTACTTGATACATATTTTCTACTATCAATTGGAAAAGGGACGTCGGAACCTTATTCATTTCCAACCTTTTAAGAAAACCAAAACCCTCTCTAAAGTTGATTGTCATGCGGGTTGGTCGACGCCGTGGTCGCCATATTGGTTTCTGAACTAAATTC